AGCCTGGCAAAGCACGCAAAGTGAAAGAAGACGGCACCAGTGGCAAGAGGCGTGCGCCCAAGAGGGCGGTGGCACCTGAAGAGGAGGTGGCGCCTTTGCCAAAGCAAAAGGCCGCGCCACGTGCCAAAGGCAAAGCGAAGGCTAAGGCCAAGGCCAAGGCCAGTGCTCGGCGCACTGCTTTGGAACCAGATCATAGGCCTGATCTGAGTGATCCGGAAATGGTTCAGGTTTTCGTGGACTTCGCCAAGAAAGTTGGTGGGCCCAAGGTTGAAGTCAACCAGGGCTTCAAAGACCATGTGCGCTCTGAATGCCAGAAATTGAAGACCACAGAGCTCAATGTCTACTGGAGCCGCTGCACTTGTGGAGTCACACTGCTTCAAGATAAGAGAGACACTCACCATTTTGGCTTCAACTATTCCATGGCAGTGGGGACCTATAAGATTGCAGTTGCTGTGAAGTGTGCTGAGATGTTGCCTTCATGCTGTTCCATTCGAATCGCTCTACAGCCCAGGCTCTGTCTGGTGGCTCTCCTGAAGGCTGCCAAGAGGTTTTTGGCAACCTTTGCTTTGAAATGCAGCTCCTGGACACCGGTCAACCAGGGCACAAGCAACAGGGCCCCATGCGCTAGTATTGGTCACGAAGAATATCGCAGTGTGCAAGAGGCTAACAAACTGGGATCTAGGTTCCTTGACTTGATCTTATATGATCTTATTATAAGGCCCTTTCAGATTTGCAAAGCTTTTCCTCATACTACAGCAGCACGCCTGCATAAACGAACCCAGGACTACATATTTGGCAATGGTGACACAGGCCTTGGGAGGCTGTTGGCTCCTTGAGCAACCTCGAGGTTCATGCTTTTGTTACTTTCCTCCTTTCATGTGCTTCCTACTGGCTTCCCTCTTGGCCTATGGTGACACATCTGTTCCAACCTAAGCGCTTGTATGATATGATCGCTATGCATTGATACATTTTTGTTTTATGTCCTTTCTCAGTCTTTACAACTCCCAGGTTTCGAAGGTGACCTGGCATATGGGCCACTACACAGCTCCAACCCCAAAGCCACACTACGCCTACAGCAACAGTCCTGCTGTTCATCAGCTATATAAGGGACCATGGAAGCGTAAACGAGAGACGGATGAACCCTCTGTTCAAACTTGCCGTGTATACGAAGACAGCCATGGGAAAAAGCGGTATGTTGGCACCTCACAGCTTACCAAAACTGAGTGCCCTGGCTCTCTTTCTCTCTCTCTCTTTGTTATGTTCTGAGTGTTTGTGTTAATTGTTTAGACAGATTGAAGGTGCACTCCGGTAGTAGCTAAGGGAATATCCGATTCCTTTTGGGCGAGCTCTGACGGACCTGTTCCCGACCCTCACAACCACTGTGAGGGGTCAGGCACCTTACCCTGATCTGATACCATCGGCCTTGGAATCTTTCCAGCTTTTGGACGATTCTTGCGATGGCCTGAAATGGGCTGAGCTGGATCAAGTGTTTGAATACTTGAGGCGGGGGAAAGAATTGAGAATCCCACCTCAGTGGTACAAATATGTGCCAAAGCCGAAGCCGCAGGGAGCCTCTGGATAGGTATCTTTCACCATTTGAATCCAAACCCTGTTCTTTGATGATCACTTTTGGTGTTCGGGAGGATTTGGTGCACCATGGTATACCAAAACAACATCATCGATCACCAAAATTGTTGATTATGTTACTTTTTGATGTTTCTTTCCAACTTTTTTAGGGTTTTCGCAGAAACCCCGTATTCTTCCCGAACTATCCCGTTTTTTAAGCCGAACTAACCCCGTATTATGATCACGCTCTCCAAAACCGGGTTTTTAGAAACCCATATTTAACCCGTGGGGAACCCATAATTAACCCATACTAACCCGTACTCAAAATATGGGTTGTAGACCTTGGATCCCTGAGGCATCCACACGAGTTTTTTTGGCTCGATGTGGTTCTCGAATGGATCTTTCGTTGAGATAATTCGGAATTGGAAAAAAAAAGCGAAACACATGGTGTGTGGAAAGTGTGTTCAGTGAATTGGCAATGCCATTGCCTACGTATACACACACATTGCTTTTTTGCTGGATTTGAGTGAAGCATTTTGCTCACAACGCCTCCTGGGTTTGCTGTCCTTCACGTTAGCGTGTGTCTAATGGCTTCTAAAATGTCTCTCCAACAAAGCACTCAGCGCTGGAGCACAGACACTTTGGATGATGGTTTAGATGCTTTACTTGCAGCGGCCAACAAAGTGGATGAAGATGAAGTGAATCTCCAACGGTTGATTCAGGATTGTTCTTTATGCACACTGTTCACTTTTAATTCATTGAACACTGAACTTGGAAAACCGCAATTCAAGCCCCACACGAACCTGGTCCCCTTTAAAGGAGATGGAGCGGAAACTGCAGATCAAGACCCCAGTCAAAGAAGCGGAGGCTGGTTCTATTCGTGTGTATTTGTTTCATGCAGTGTCCCACGTTCCTCTATTTTTCATGCCATAGGTGGAACCGCCTACTATCATGCCCACTCCCGCGCCAACTCTGCCAAAGTCACCGGAAGTGCCTGCCAGTTTGCAGGATACGGTACCTGTTCCTTAGAATGAAACGGGGATGGGAAATCTAGTGAAACAAGACTTGTTTGGGAGCGTTGTTGGAGATCTCAACTTAGGCTACTGAGGAAGAGCTGAGGGCAGCTGGCATCAACATTCCGGTGCCACCTACACAGTTGTTAGAATCGCTTGTCGTCAGGAAGAGAAAGAGGTGGCTCCAGTGACATCACGGCCCATCCCAACACCAGTGCGAGCTGAGGGTGTGGACCCTGAACAAATTCCAACTGAGGAAACTTCTGGAGAAAAAGAACCTGATCAGATTGAACCTGCAGAACTGTCCGTCTCCAAGCCCGGTGAAGTGAAGCCTAAGTCTAAGACCCGCCAGCTCACACGTTAGGAGCTGCTGCAAAGTCATTGTTTGCCTCGGCATTTTCGCTGTTCAATATGTTTGGAAGATATGGTGTCACTTGCGCTCGGGGTAGGAGCGACTCCGTGAAGCGGCCAAGCAACGGCTTCGCCGCATGTGTACACCGAAGAGAAAGCGAGTCTCTTTGAACGTTCCGGCATGGGTGCAACAAGCATGGTCCCAGAATGATAAGACTGAAATGGCCCAGCTTCTCATGGACTCCAACTGGAATAAGGACCGTTTCAATCCATCTTATAAAACAACTATGATATTTTCCTTTTCACCATTGATCCTCCTTAAGAAAGTGGGTACGTGGTGCAAAGGATGTCTTCATTTCGCAGCTGGAGCTGGTCGTCAAGCGAAAGAAGAGCATGAAGGTTGTGGTCGATGAGCAGTGGGTGAGTGAGAGGGAAATGGCGGAAGACCTTGGTTGGAGTAAGACTCTAGACCATATAGAACTCGTTCAAAAACATTCCAGAAGAGATCAATCTGTTCCAAGAATATATATTCCTATGTTTTGCAGCCTAGGACCCGCATTGCCGGAGCGATCAAGAAGTGCCAGAGTATGGCTGCCACCCATGTTAGGCGGGTGTGTTATCCGACATGCATATGCTAATCCCCTTCCCATGGGGCATTTTGTCAGGAAGAACCAGTACGACGATGAGTACGAATACTATGTGATAATCAGTGAGAAGGGTCAGCGTGAGATGGAGGAAACCCATGAGGAAATCAAAAGAAAGATCGGGAAGCTTGAGGCCAGGTTTGATTGGACATGAATATGTTGTGACCCGTTCTTATATTATTCCCACTCTCCACGCCCCAGTTTTTGGCAGGAATCTGAGGCGCCGAACTTTGACGAGGGCACCTTCGCTGGCCTGGATCAGGCAAAAGCCAGAAAGCTGGCTAGTGAGACGTCTGCAGCGGCAGCCAATGCCAAGACTGTTGCTGAGAACCAGCACCTCGAGGCTGACCATTTTTGCACTATATATACATCGATTGAGTATACGTGCACGTGTACACTGCATGAAACTCTTGGCGCAAGCCGGCCTTCACGCAGGTGAAGAAGACTATGGAGAAGTTCATGGAGAGCCTACTGCAAAAGTCTGGCAAGATCAGAGGACTCATCCGAGATTCGAAGGATAATTACAAGAACAATGAGTCAATGACAAAGTCTAGTCCTTACAAAACTCTTTAGCATGATAGGAAGTCTGAATGTGAAACTGTGCACTAAAGACACCTTGTCTCTTCAAGTGTTTTCTGGGGGAGTCCAAGGCATGTTGGCCAGCTAAACAGTCAGCTTCAGTTGATGGACACTGAATACGACAAGTGCCAAAAGGTCTTAGCCGATGGACAGATTAGCGGATACAACGATGCGTTTCTTTGCTGCTTTTTTCACCTGGTCACTCTTTCACCTCAGGTTTTTGATGGACCGTGAATATGTGGATGAAGTTGGTTTCCCTTAAGCTTTCAACGTCCCAGGTTCTCTCAGTCGGCAACGGCAAGAATGAAAGCGGCCACTTACGTGTACTCTCCTTATAATTGCACAAAATCAGTTTGGGATATAGTTTTGGACAAGTGGATTGATCTTGAACCGCCGCCGCGGGTGACCAACTTGCGACTCCCCAGGTGCAGTGCTGCCTGCGCTGTGGAGATGAAGATTCGGTACTTGGCCTCCTTCAGCCTTTGCGCCACACATAGCTAGCGCAAATGAGGAGGCAGGGGGTGCCACTCTAGCCAAAATGGCACGTGGGCGCGCAACCGTTCAACCTTTGGTTAATTCCCTGATTCTTCGTCCACATTTAAAATACATCATCGTTTCATGACCGCTTGCATTTTTCACCAGGGTAGGGCCAACGCCCACTTTCTCACCCAGACAAAGGTGTGTGGCTTTGCAAAAAGAGGCTGCAATGCCGGGGCATCAAAAGACTAGACTCTAGACTCTAGACCATCATGACTGATCAGGCCGAAAACAATGCGGGCCTAAGCAGAATGTCGGCAAGTTGAAACACGCAGAGTCACGGTCCAGTCGGCTCACAAGAACATGATTTTTGCTTTTGTGCAATGACCTCTTGAAGACTGCGTGCAGCTCGTGTGGCCGCACGTTTCTCCTGGATCAGCTGGCGTGCTCACCGCGCAAAAAGCTGTGTGAGTTCCATTTCCATGAACCGTTCTGCTTCTTGGTCTTCATAGTCCACCATCTGTATCACTCTCATGCTTTTGGTCAGCAAAACCGAAGCACCTGGGAAAGGAGACAGAATCTTAACAAGCTGCATTTCATGACTGGGTCCGGCTACGCAAGCACCCCTTTGACAAGCATCAACATGCTGGTCAATAAAGCTGGAGACAGGTCCTCGATAGTGAGGCTTCAACCATTCAAGAAGATTCGGCAAAAGGTCTGCGTCACAGCTTTGCAAGTCTGCAAATGTGAAGGTCAGTCGCCGGATAGGATAGTCATTCTTCCGGCGGGTATCAAGAACAAGTCTGATACCAGCTAAGCCTTTCAAGCCTGTGTATCCTTTCCCTCCTGCAACACTGGTTTGGCTCCCACTACTAGCTTTGCTTCCTGACAATTGACCTGCTGACTTTTGACTTGGGGGGCTGTTATGACTGCGCCCACTGCCCACACCAAAGCCGATGACATGGCGCATGTCGCTGCTTGGGCAAAGGTTCTCCATGCGTCCCAAACGATCTGCTGCGTTGGACTCATTGGTGATACCAATGAGGTGCTCTGGCTCTTCGGCCAACCCAGGCACCGTCACATGAAAAAGCTCTGCTCCAAAGGACACCCCGCTGGAGTCCTTCATGGAAACATGCAAGGACCCGGCTGGAGCAGCAGTGGACGACTCAGCCACAAAATCTATGAAGCGCTGCTGGTCATCCGCAGCAATGTACCGGAGGAATGGCGTGCCATCAAGTGTGGTTTTTGAAGCGCGGCCAAAATTGCACATGAGAAGGTCAAGTAATGATTGGGATGTCATCTGGATTTGGAGATCATGTGTCAACCTCACTGAAGCGTCACAGGTCACTGACAACAAGCGTTGAGCTGCTCCACCTTCTCGTTCAGCTTCTTTGACTTGCTTCACTTTGGTTTCTAGTTCAACAGATGCAGTTGCCAGTTTGTGCTCTTTGTTATCTAAGTTTGTCATGAGCATCGTCATAAATGTCACTGAGATTATCTCACTGATGATGTGGAACTCTACCCTCTCTGGTGGCCCATCTGGAGATTGAGTGATCCAGTGTGCGAGGACGTAAAAAGGTGCCAGCAATACATTCATCTTGTTGCTGCGTCTGCTGCAAGTAAAACTGAAGCAAAGTGTCCGAGCCAGATAGCAAGCTGGTACGAACTCTCGAGGCATTCCGAGAGTAGAAATAAACACCAAAATGCTCATGATGGTCAAGTCCCGGTCTAAACGGGCCGGTGTCACGATATCCTTGTCCTGTGCTACCCTCCTCAAAATCTCAGAACCAACTGCAACACCAAAAAGAAATGGCAAGAAACTCACCATCGGCTCCAAGATTCCACATGCCTGAATTAGAAAGAGTGAAAGCAGAAACAGGTCAAGGACATAACACCAAACGCTTGCCAGTTCCTGAAAAGAGACTCGTCTCCTTTCATCCAGAAGACGTTGCTCCTCTTCGTCTGCAGTCGGAGTTCCAAGCATCTTTCTAAAAATGATGACATTGGCTTGATCACTGGCCTCCAGCACTGATCCACGCGATGTGCGCTGCGCCCAAAAGTATGCAGAAACCAATCCGTATAAAGCCACCACAATGTAGGCCAGGTTATCTTCTTTCATGGGCGTCAAAAGAAGCATCATTGACGTTGCTGGAGGTTGCTGTTATCTAGAATTTGGTTTGTCAACATATGATTCTTTGCTAATCATGACTCAAATGGTTGCACTTTCTGCCCTGGAGACCCTAGAAGAATAGCATCTGAAAAAATAAGAAAAGGCCCATCTTTGATGCTCATTTTGCACTGCTCTCACTTGAAATCATGGAAAAAGTCTGCGCCTATCAGCTGTCATGCGTTGGTCATTTTGGCCATGGTTGCGCCTGTACCCTGAAAAATGCTTGAGCAAATCAAGTTCAGTTTTTCCTCAATCCGTTCATCAGCCTTAATCAGAAACCTGAGAAGTAACGGGATAGAGCAACGCGTTTCACGCAAGAAGCTCCAACAAGCGATGTGAAAGTCTCCAACACAAACGAAACAAATCCAAGGGTTCCTTGTGATTCCAAGGGTTTCACACACACTTATTGAATTGCATACTGAACTGAATGCCACATGCCACACGCCGGCCTGAGTTAAGAAACCTGAGATACCAGGAGGACAAGTAGTAAGTTAAAGGCCATCGCTTTTTGGTTGGAGGCCATCGCAAGGAAGTTGGAGGCCAACGCCCGGTACACCGGGATGATCAGTCCCTGCTTCCCCTTCTTGTCCACAGCTTCGTTGCGTGTGGTAGGACAAGAAGGCCACACGCCCCTGCTGGAAAACCGTGGAAAACCCTTAGAACCAGGGTGCGACACACACAACAAGCCGTGATCGGCGCACAGATCAAGCGGTGTACAAACGGATCTTTTTCTCTCAAAAACCGCCTGCACGCATGCAGGTCATGCCCTTTTTGGGCGTATAGGTTGACCAGGGCTTCAGCCGCAGCGGTGGCGTTGTTGGGTGGAAACGTGTAGGTATAGATGGAGTGAAGTCTTGAAGCTAAGCCGGACAGAGCCAAGCGCAGGCTACCGGCGCTGGTGTGGTCCCTGATTTTCCAGGGTTGGGTGGGTTGTATGTATGTGATGGTGCGTTGCTGGAGGTCAATGTTGAAACCCAAAAGGTGAAAGTCCTCCACCGTCTCCAACTCGACAGGATCGCCGAAAAAGTTGTTGTGGATGAGGGTCTGGATGGCGGGATGTGAAAGGAAGTGTTCATTGTGGACAATGAAACGGTTGTCCACGTAGCGATAGTACGCGAAATGGAGGGCAGTGTGTTGAAGGAGATTGTTGTGAAGTTGATGCCAGGAGTGTTCGATGAGGGTGATGGCAACGTTGCAAAGGGCAGGGGATAGCTGGGAGCCAATCCCAGCTCCCCGAATTTGCTTGTAGGTGTTGTTGCGTGCCCGGAAAATGCAAGTGTCAAGCGCATATGCCACAATGGTTGTAATGTCCGCAGTGTGGATGGTGCGCTGTGTAGGGTGGCGTCGGTGGTGCCTGCCGATGTGGGAGTGGTGGAAAGGGTTGCCGGTGGCTTTGGTGTCAACGGTAAGAGTGTGGGTGTAGTTCTGGCGTTGCCATTGCTGAATGAGGGAGTGGACGGCGTCAATCAGGCGATGCTGTGGAACTGAGTTGAAGAAGGAAACAAGGTCGTCATTGGTGGCGTGTAGGGGAATGTGGGGTGGGGTGTGGGTGAGGTAGCAGTGAAAGTGGGACCACAGTTGTGGAATGGAAAGTTGGCCTGGATGCTGAGGAAGGAGGTGTTGTAGGATGATGTCAAGGGCTCGGCTGGTAATGCGGAGGAGATTGCCGCTCAAGGACTGAAAGTATGAGATAATGGTGGGGCCCTTTCTCCACTGTTTTTTCTCCTTGAGGTGAACAATGCCGTAGGGAATCGTGAAATCTTTTCTGAAGTCCCATTTGTAACGTGTGCGGAGGCTGGGGGGGATGGTGTGTGTCAGGTGTTCGTGAATGTTGGACGATTGGAATGTTGGCATGGGTGCAAAGAGTTCCGGCGACTGCCAGGTGGCAAGCGCCCCGGCGAAGTATTGGCGGGGGCAGAAAATGCGTAGCTGTTGCAGTTCGTGGTCAGCATGGTGGAGGACAACTTGGTCGCCCAGAAATTCCTGGAGTTGCCGGAGAAGGCGGGCTGTGAAGCGGGGTTGGTGTTTCAAATGGTCAGTATGGAGCCGCCATTGGTGCTGGAGGAAGGGTTCCAAGTGCTGTGTGAGTGAGGGTGGAAGGCCTTGAACGCGCAGCCATTTTGTGAAGGCAGTCTGGAATGAAAGGAAGTACCTGGCCTTACTGGGGTAAAAGGTGCTGTTCATATTGGCTGCCAAGAATATGCGGAGGTGCGGTGGTAGTGCGAGTTGTTCAAGGGTGAGGATGTAGTGGTTGTCGATTGTGGGTGTGGTTGGATCAAGGAGAATGGTTTTCAGTTGGGCGCATGCGCATGGCAAGTCACTGGAGGTCGGAGGGTTTGGGAGCGTACCCTCCCAGGTGCGGCGGTTGTGCAGATGGGCCCGGAGAGTCTTGTGGGCTGCTTCCCGCAAACGGTGAGTAGGCAAGTGGAGCGGGATGGCCAGGTGTTTGTGGTGCTGTATTGTGGTTTTTAGCCACTGTTCACAGTGTTTGGGAAACTGCTCGTGGGCCAGGAATGGTATGGTGAGGGGGATGTTGGGCTTGGGCGGACTGAGGTTGCGGTACTGGAGGGCTTGGTTGATGATGTGGAGTGCTCTGCTGCGGCCAGGCTCTTCCAAGTTGGATGCCATTCGTCGGATGGCGTAGACCTCCAGGTCAGTATGCTTGCCGCTGCGCAATTGTTTGGCTGCTTCAAAGGATGCCCGTGTGTGTTTGGTGAGATTGCGAAGAAGAGTGAGGGAGTGCAGTCGAGTGGAGGTAAAGAGATGTGGTTCATGAATGGCATGTTTGCCGTCTGCGGAGCTTGCGGAAAAGTCGCTTGTGGGTTGCCAGGCAGGAGTAGAAATGAGCGCGGTGTTTGGTGAACTGCCAACCTTGAGCTTTGAGCTTGAGGTGGTGGGAGATGAAAGGCCAATTGAGTGGCGGCATCCAGTTGGAAATGAGGTAGTGTTCTTGGATCCAAGCGTGATCATATGTGTCATGTGAGGAAAGTTGAATGGGTGTGAATTGGTGGATGTTGTTGTGGGAATGCCAGTAGCGAAGGGACAGTTCTGCTGAAATTGGAAAGTTGTTCTGCAATTGTTTGAGTTTTGCCCGACGGTTGTGTTCCCTGTGTGGGATGCCGATGCCAGTGGAGCCGATATAGAAATGGCCGTGCTGGTGGTAGCAGCGTTGTGGGGTGGTGGGGTTGAAGTAGAGTTTGACATACACTGCATTGGAAGAGAGAAAGTTGTGGTAGTGGTAAGTGTGAGGTTGGATGCGGAGGTGTTGAAGTCGTTGACGCCATTGCTGGGAACGTTGGGTAGAGGAAGGGTAGCAAAAGAGAAGTGTAATGTGGATGAGGCCCACAGCAAAGAGGGCCTCGGCACGTTCAATGTATTGGCTGTAATGGATGAGAGTGGAAAGGGCTTGGTGTAAACGGAAAAGTTGGTGGAGCTGGTTTTGGTGCGGCTGGTGTTGGCTGGTCAGGGCTAGTCAGCATGCGATGGCAGCCCCCACACTGACAATGTGTTGGAGGCTCTTGATCGAGAGCTTGTTCACCCGAATCAGTGGGAGGCCGTAGCGGGTCGCGGCCTCCTTAAGCTGGTCAGTGAAAACTTTGCTAGCCTGGAGTAAACGCAAGATTTCTTGAGCTGCCTCTTGGATTTTGGGCTCAAAGGTCCGCATCCATTGTTGGATGGAGGGTGCGGTCCATGCTTCAGGGGCGTCGTCCTTGAGGGTGGGGTAGGACGGTTGAAGCATGTCTGGGAGCGCTGGTGGTTGGTGAGGTGCAGGAGGGTCGGCGGGGGCAGAGGGAGCGCTGGGGCGGCCGGTGTCTTTCTTGGGGGTAAGTTCCAGTCCATGTGCTTGGAGTTTCTCCCGGGCGCGGGCAAGATCATCGGAGGTGGCTTTGAGCGCTCGGATGGCTGAGCCTTCGGCAACGGCTGGAGAGTGGGCCTGCATTTGGTCGGTTAAAAGTGTAATGAGGGGAGAGTGGAATGCTCGCGCTTGTGTTGTTTTGTTGGGGATGGTGGTACCGGCCTTGGTGTGCATGGCCTCGGCGATAGCGTCTAAGTCCAGACGCTTATCGCGAATCTCCCGAAGGAGATGTGTGGTGAAAACTGACTCGGCAACACTCCTGGTAGGAATGTGAGCGTCCTGGCTGTAAAGTCCGCCGTCCCATGGTACGCAAGTAACCAAGGGAACACCTCAAAAGTCGGCAAGCCTGCGATCCCGACACGTCGGGACCATTGGGTGGGCTGGATGTGACGGTGGAGTTGATGTCCGTGAATGGCGTTTGAGTCCCAACAGGAATCCGTGGAGTGCCAAGATTCTTGGATGGTTGGGGTTGGAGATGGAACTGTAGGAGGAGGTACCGGTGGAGCCGAGTGAGTGGGACTGTGCTTGAAGGACTTCTGTTGTGGTGCTGGTGAGGCCGTAGGGAGTGGTGGCGGTGGCGGCGGTGGAAAGGAAGGAGAGGTGTTTGGCGGCGGTGTGTGAGATGGTGGCGACGTCGAAGGCGGTGGCGTGTAGGGGTGAGCCTGATGCTGTTGGTGCATGCGAATGGAATGGCACATGGGGCCATAGGTAGTTGTCGGCGTGTATTGGGCGGCGTCCGTGCCCGAGGCAAGCTGATGCTGTTGCTGCTGGAGTAGGTAGTGGTTCCAGTAATACTGCTGCCACTGGGCGTCCATGATGGGTACAGGTGGAGGACGAAGATGATGGCGGGAAGCGGTCAGTTTGAGCAAGAAAGCTGAAATGAAAGAACCGAAGCAACCTGCAGTTCGAAAGACTGTACATTGAATAAATCTCAAAATGTGGTACCTGCGGGACTTAATTGATGACTTAGTCAATCTAATAGGTAAAGTGGAATGAGCCGCAAGTAGCAACAATCCATGAAGGTATCACGATCACCATGTCCTGGAAGGCAACCGCGGATTTTTCGTGGTGCGAGTGAAACAGCTGGTGTTGGCGGAGGATCAGTAAGGCCACAAGTAGAGAAGACAAGCGATATTCGAAAAT